ACACCTCCCCCCAAAAAGTCTCCAGACAAACGAATACCGAGAAGCGTTCTTTCAACTACAAAAGGCCTGACTTGCCCAATGCACAAGTCTTTTCACTCTCTAAATGATTGCAGAGAATTTAGGAAAAAATCCTAGATGACCGAAAGACCCTACTCAAATGCTAGGATATGTTTCAAATGCTATGACTCTATGGATCACACAGCCAAAGACTGCACAGCTAAGATGAAATGCCACCTGTGCAACAGTGATAGGCACCCAGCAGTCTTACACCTAGAACCTAAGACGGTGTCTAAGGAGTCACGACAAGCAACTAGCTCTACACTAGACTAATCACCGACCTAGTCCTGTTGCTAAAGAAGACCAACTTGGAAAATTGAACCTCTTCAGTTCCAGCTGTTGTTCCTGATTCTTCAGTTCCAGCTGTTGTTCCTGAGTTTCCAGATGTTCCTGATCCTGATTCTTCAGCTCCGGCTGTTCCTGTATTTCCAGATCCAGCTGTTTATGTCTTTCCATGTTCTTCAGTTCCTGAGTATCCTGTGAATCCAGTTCCCCTTGTTCCTGAGAAGCTTGGGTTCCAGTTTTTTTTCTGTTCCAGATTTGGTTCCAGTTTCCTTCACAGGAAGAAGACCTTGTCTCACTGGGACACAAGACTGCATACCAGAACTATTGGCCCATGGGACTTGCGCACCGGGCCCACCCACTTGATGAACTAGTTTGCCCAGCCGAGGTCCAGATCGTGAAGCCACGTGAGTCAGGTCGTGACTCAAAGACACTTGTACCAGGCTGATTACCAATTTGTTCCCGTTGCTGATGAAGACTAAACCAGAAGATCAAACCTCAAAATATGTATTGTCTTATGCATTGTTTGATGTAACACTTGCCTTTTGTTATAATTGTGCATGTTTTATATTTACCAATAGTTATGCATGTTTGATACCAAGTTTTTACCTATTTAGGCACAAGTTAGTTAACAATGAGTATTGCATGCCTTGATGCTACGTTTTTATTATTTTAGTAGTGGAAATATAAATTTCCAAGCGGGGAGTATTCTGGAACGTATAGCTTTATGTAGCACTAACTAGAGAGCAGGTATCAGTGGGTTGGAGTATCTGTCAGTTATTGGGTTAAATGCTACGTATGTTGATGGGTCAGTGGGAGGAGTATCAAAGGTCATTGAGAGACTTCCTGGACACAAGCCAGATGGGATCCTTTGTTCACCAGCCGCATGATTCTTAGCCACACGGTTAGGAGATCCTTGCCAACATGTAACACACAGGAAGAGAAGAGGGGAAAATCCAATGTCAATTTACCTGGGGAATAAACCAATATTGCAAGCATGTGCTTCTGGATGCATCTCCAGATGACTGTAAGTCATTGTCTAGAATTCCCAGAATAAAGGCTATATTTCTGTTTATTCTTCTGAACTATCTATCTGTTTGGACTGTATAGAAAGCAACCTGTTCAGTTTGGAACAGAATAGTCCATGTTGTCATTTTGACATTATTGTGGTTTGCTATGGATGCCACTGGCTCCATAAGCAAATTACATTCCATATTTTAACATTCCTTAAAATTTAAGATTTGTCCAGCTACACAAACTGCACCTGCATCATTACCATTTCCCCACTTTTCTACAGTGTTTTCAATTTCTTTTTTACCAGCTTCTTCTTAGATACTAACAGCATCAAGGTATATTCTTCTTTGTTGACTGACTGTAAACTGCCCTCCTGCAAGGGTGACACTGAGTTGAACATGGACTAACCATGAGGCTCAGTCAACAAACTGGTATATCAATTTCTATCTGTAGGAGAAGGAATGGCAGAATCTGGGAGCAGAGTGAAAAGAGGGATCAGCCTAGAATCCCTATGTAACCACAAGTGATCACAATCCAACTCTCCCTTGAATGATGTTGACCCTTATCTAATTCTAACCAGGTTCTGATTGTCAGTTGAGAAGATTCCCATGCATAGGCTTTTAGCAATAAATCAACTTTCACATATGGAGCTGGTCTTTCATATCTGACACTGTCACAACCAATGGATCAACAGACATATAGAATGCTGAACAATGCTAGGATGTTCCCTGAAGACAGTGCAGATTGGCATCAACTAAGCACCACAACAAGTGGGCAAGAGCTACTGGTTCAAGGATGGAAATTGCTAAAGAAAAAGCTTCCTAGATATTAACATTAATAGCATTTGTTTAAATTCCACTTTTTGTCACAACAAATCATTCTCATAGAAATCTCTAAATTATCCTTCCAGTCACTTTAATTTCATCCCAAATCAAGTTTTTTCCCCCAATTTTATTCTTAATTCCATACTCTATTGGAGTCTCTATGTTTAGGCTTCTCCATTCACTTACAAAACATTGTAAAAGCTGTGCATTTTTGCTGTCTCTTTTAATTTTAACATTCTTCACTCTCTTTGACAACATTCTCTGACCAATTTCATTCTCTGTACAATCAGTTTGCCTACTGATTGATTATTTTTGGTGGCCCCACCAAACAGTTAGCTTGAATTAAAATTTCCCAAATCATAAAAAAATTAAAAACGTAGTGCATCCAATGCCAATTTATTCAAAACCAATAACCACTAAAAATAGGCTCACAGAGCACCCTGGCTTAATGCTTGAGGAAAAAAACAAGTTTTCAATGTCTTACAAAAAGGCAACAAAGTCAGAACCGTCTTAATCACACAGAGTATGCTGCTTCACAGAGCAGGCACTATAAGAGAAAAGACACATCTCAGTTTCATCAGATGACATAATTTAATAGTAGAAACTTTTATTCTATTGAATCTTATAGGATGAACAATGATAATCTCACAAATAACCTGGTTCTATGCTGTGAAGAGCTATATAACTGATAATAGTAACTTGAATTGTATCAAGGAGCCTACTGGAAGCCAATGTAGTTCATGAAGCAGTGGTGTTATATTGGCATATCTTAAGTCCTCACACCATTCCACTAATTTGGAGGTACATGCAGTATATTGACACATGCTCAGAACATTATTCAGACCTTGAGTATTATTAGATGTGTCACTTATTATTTCAATTTTTTAAAAGAAAAACTTCAGTTATCCTTGCTTTTTTTGTTCTTTTTCATTAATTCTGTTAGTTCCTTATTCTCTTAATGTAAGAATATAAGGATTGTACTGATAAAGACTAGTGGGCAATCTAATCAAGGATTCTATTCGTACAGTGGCTCTTAATGGTGACTCATGGGAAGCCCACAAGCAGAACATGATGGCAAAGTGCTTCTTCACAAAAATGGGCTTTTGTTGGAAGCAACAAATAACCATCATAACCAGTAGCTGTTAAAAGATCCTCCCCACCATTAATTTATCTCAGTTGGTAGCTATCAGAGGCATTCAAACTGGTAGCCAGCTAGTTGTCTACAGAAAGCACATGAACAAAACAAGAATGCAACTGCAGTCTCCAAGGAATTTGTGTCTTTAATTTTAGAGCTTGTGAAAATAAAACATTAATTTTATTAATAAAAAATAGCACTTGGACTGCATACTTGCGTTCTTGCATGTCTTTTTACAAAAGGAGGTCAATAATCTGGGGTTCATGAAATATTTTCCTTTCTAAAATATTTATCTGTAAGGCAATTAACTTGTATTCTTGAGCAAAGAAATTCTGTACTGGTTTGACCTCTTTGACTAATGATTGTGGTTTGTTAAATTCCCATATTTATGACTAAGAGTTATAACTCTATGATCAAATTCCACTCAATTTTCATTGAATTGATTACCAAAACCTAAAATGACAAAAGATGTTCCTTGAGTGTAAAGGAAGAACCCTTCTGTGGCGTGGCTGTGCGATAAAAGATTAAAATCATTTTCAAATATAATATTTTCAGGAATTTAGCATTAGAAGGAAGGAAGGAAGACAACAGGAAGTATCTCTTTCCAAGTAAAAGGAAACCAGATGTCATTTGTTTGTTGAACGAAATATGGGAACTTGGACCACAGAGCATGACGCTGAAACTCCATAAGAAAAACAAACATGATAATTTAAAATAATTAGATTGCAGTTACTGTAAAAGCACTCTGTGGAATGAGGTCTTTCTTTGGAAAGGAATAGAAAAATAAGGGAATACAGAGAAAACAAATTGAAAAAAGAGATACCGAAATAGATACACAAAGGTCCAGTAGCCAACATTGTGTGAAAGGCACTACACTTTGCTGATGCTGAGAACTAGAAAAGCCTAATCCCAGCTGTAGCTTTATTACCATGAAGGATTTTTTTAAAATAACTTGTAAATTAGTAATTGTAACTGACCACAGGCTTAGTCTGGTCATCCAGGTTGGCCATCCTGCCAAAGGGGCCTCAACTAAGAATCTTCCTAAAAGCTCTACAATGCCAATATGGGGTTGTACAACCCCATATCTTCCCAGGGGGGAGGGAAAGTAAGATGTGGGAAAGTATGAGGTAACCTAAAGTAGCAAAAGTCATCCTTGCGCTTTTATATATCTTGTCTTTTCCCCAAGGAAGATAGAGGATATTTGACATTTCTTCATATAAAGAAAAATCTGGCTCCCTGGTTTGCTTTGCATAAACAAAAGCATTCCATTGAGATTGCCCCACATAGAGCATTAGGGGGCACCCACCACACTTTGAGCTTGAACTAAGTGGTGATACAGAAGATGATGATGATGATGATGATGATTTTTGCAGAGGAGGCAGAGATTTTCCTCACTAAGGATCAACCAAATCTTACCCAACAGAGCATGAGCAGAACTAGATCGTCATTCTATTTAGATTCAGATCCCCATCCTTATTGCAGATCATGTTTAAGAATATTCCTGAAAACCTCAGCAATATCTCCTACTGTCTATAGCAATGATTCTCAACTTGAACAACTTTAAGATATGCTTACAGGATCTGGGAGTTGAAGCACAGTATCTTTACCTTAAAGATACTGAGGTGGAGATACACTGCTAAATAGGATTCTGTTCCATTAAGCAGATTGTTTAAATGTGCTATCCAGTTAAAGGGCTCCCTAATCCAAGTTATCAGGCAGCTGGACAATAAGAGTCACAGAGATTATTATCTTCATTTCATGGATAGAAGATTGGATTTATATTTAAATGTCCACAATTATTTCCAAATTTATTCATGTGCATTACACTTACATTTATATATTACATGTATAGAGTATACATTACATTATAGGCAATACATACTTTGTGCAATGCTTGGGTTCTTCCTGGTCTTCTTTATTGAATGAGATTTAGGATGATTTTGACTTCAGTTTATGCCAATTAGCCCTATTCTATCTTGAGAGCCAGTGGAGGGCAGAACCAAAGAGATTTGCTAAGGATGCAGCTACAGAATAACCGGGAAAAGTTGTCATAGACCCTGTAAAAATGATGCAGTCTTGTCATTTCTCTGTTTCTTCCTTGTCTAATGCCCTGTAATATATTCTGGATGTTTCATTTTCTCATTTTATTTTTCTATAATTTTCCCTACACTATATTTTAAGGGCACTGGAATATGTCTAGAAGATAAGAAACTGAATGAACAGTGTGGAGGTTGGAAACCAAGTCCTATAAGGAATGGTTGAAATAGCTGTGCAAGTTTAGTTTGGAAAAAAATTATTAAGGGTGCATTTTTTATCTGAACGGTTGGCAGGGAGAAAACAAAAGAAGTGTATTCCCACTGCAATGATTAGAAATTATAGAAGATGTACTTTTAATTACATTTGAATAGCCATACTGGTATATTCAAATTCATTTCTTTTTGTTGTTGTTGCTGTTGTTGTTTGGTATGATTAATATCATATATATATATATATATATATATATATATATATATAAACCCACAGCCACTTAGGTGAGATCGCAACCATATAAACCATATAAATAAATGTTCCACCTTTCTGCCCATAGAACACTCAAACATGCTATTATAAAAATGAAATAAAAAAGCAATTAAAATTGTAATTAAGGCTTAAGGCAGTCCTCGACTTATGACCACAGTTAGGATGGAAATCCAGATGTTGCAGTCATAAATCAAGACACCCATATGAATGGACTCATTTTGGATCTCCTATCAGGGTTAAAATGACTCAAAATGATGCCATGGTTAGATAACAAAGTGAGATTTCTTTGGCTGCCTTGAGCCTTTGCGATTACATCTTTAACACATCAATAACTTACCCTCAGGTTATTGAGGCTTGCAGGGGCATGACTAATCAGCAGATGAAAGTGTCTTTCTGGGGATTAGCTCTAATGAAAAGAAAAAGGATAGTTATTTTGTTTGGTTGAAATCTTCCATAAATCAGAGCAAATACTGACAAAGCAGGTTCATACAGGAAGAATGAAGCTTTTGTAGGTGAAAGGAAAGTTTCATATAAATCACAAGCTGAAGTAGCAATTGTGTGAGAGCCTATGGGAACAAAACCATTTAATGTCAGGTGTTAAAAAAGAATGTTTGGTTATTCTTAAAGCATCTCCTTTCTAAAATAATAAAACATAGATAAATTGGGCATCATTATTACTCCTTCTCTCTCCTTCTCCCTCCCTCCCTTCTGTCAGAATTACCACCCAGATTTTGCAGTAGACAATAATAGCCTGCTGCACAGGGGTTGCAAGCTGGTGGTATTGTTTGTGGTGTTAAGATTTAGAGGCTGCCCAACTCCAGAATTATGGCTTACACTTTTAAAAAAGAAATACACAGAGAGATAATCTTAAGGGTTCAGATATCCATATACCATACATAAAAAAACTCCCAGCATGGAGAGGGTGCCACAAACACCCAACCCCAATGTCTGACAGGACAGTCATATTTTCAAATCTACCCCAAAACCTACATGGGAGCTACATGGATTTTTGAGGGGTTATCATTTCAAAGAACAAAAGAATCACAAAGAAGCTCTCCTTCCCAATCCCAATCCCCATTGTTTGATTGAAGGAATTCAAAGATAGAAAGTATATGAGACAGGTTGTCCCTCAACTAGCTGAACTATGTCACGAAGTACTTTCTAGTAATAACCAATACTTGAATTGTACCTGGAAACTTAGCAGCAATCAACGTAGCTCATGGGCAGTAGTATATGGGCATATAGAGGCAGGCCCAATACTGCCTACAATACTGCATTCTGGACTAATTGTAGCCTCTAAATGATTTTCAAGGGCAGCCCCATATAGAACTCTGCAATAATTCAACTGTAAGGTAACTAAGGCATAAGTGACTAAGGCAGGGGTGTCAAACTTCTGGCCTATGGGCCGGTTGCATCATGCGGAGGCTGCACCCACCCCGCTCCAGCAATGCAAAAAAAATCATTGATACATTGCGACATGTCATGTGACGCGGCGAGTTTGACACCAGTGATCTAAGGGGTTTCACAATCCAGGAACAGATACACAATTCAGGAGCAGGCACAACTGGCATGCCACCTAAAGCAACACAAAGGCCCACCTGGCCACAACTAGTTCCTGCTCTTTGCAAGTCCAAGACTCCAAACATCTAACTCTGTTTAACTTCTAAGCTTAGAGAAGTTCAGTCAGGGGGACTCACCTACTGAGATTCTCAATATTGAGTTATGAAATTGCTATATTTCTTGTTTTAAACTATGGCTGTTATTATTGTTAATTTTTTTGTTGCACAGGGATATGCTCCATTGACCAGTATATTGAATTCAGAGCTCTGAATTTCTTCTTTTAATATATAAATTGACCCACAACACTGCAACTCTTAGAACTGGTGGTGTATGACTGATATTTTCATGCCATTTTCAAAATACCCACCTGCTAAATGTTGATTTGGTTTTGTGTGTCTTTGAGAAATTAATTTTAAGCCATCAATTATGCATACCACTGTGTGCAATTTTGGTCATACTTCTTCAAAAGAATGTTGTAGAGCTGAAAAAAATACAAGGAGTGTTAATCAAAATAATTAGGCGTTATAATGAAAAAATATACAATATCTGAGGCTTTTTAGATTAGACAGGAGGCTGATAGAGGTATAAAAAGAGCTTTTTTTAAAAAAAACTTCAGCAATATTTTACTCACATTGAAGTAAAATGCAGAGAGATTTAGGATGTGAGTTAGTTTTAAAAGTGAATCAGACAAATTCATGGAAAAAAAGGCTATCTATAGCGCCTTGTTTTGATGGTTATGTTCTGATTCACATTAAAAATCAGCTGCATCAAGGAGGAGTTTTTGTCCCTTTGTCCTATTTTAGACATCCTTAGAAGGAAGAGATGACCACTCTGGGATGCAGAATACTGGACCAAATCACTCACTAGAGCATTGATTATTTCTTTTTTAAAACAAGTAATGTTTTTATGTCCATAAAGTAAACAAAAGCTTACAGAATATTTTTGTATCTGTGGGAAAGACTAGAGATGTCTATTAAAAGTAAGAGAATGGTCAAGTTGTTCTCCCCATTCCTTAGTGTTTCCATTTGGGGGGTAAAATGTCAAGATGGCTGCTTCAATCACAAAGTTGCCATTTTAATTTTTTAACTCACTTACAGATGTCCCTGATTTTCATGAATCTCAAATGATAGTGAAGTTAATTTCTCTTGTAACTGGCTCAAAGATGTATCTTATGCCAAAAAAGTTTCCAAGGGTGTATTGTGAATACATTTGGTTAATTATATACAGCGCTGCTAACAATCAAAGGATTTTGTTTTAATGTGTCCATGTTTTTCTTAATATTTACATATTGTCATGTATAAAATATTTGATGAAAAAGATGAGCTAACTGTTTTAAAACCAGTTCTTTTCATGTGGTATGAATAACTATGAATTCTTAATACAGCATAACACAAATCACAAATAAACAATTCAAAGATTTTAACAAAGCAGCCAAAAGAAATGATTATATTATATATTCTTAACAACTTTTACATTTAAAAATCTGTTTTTGCAAGTTTATGCTTTGGTTTTAAATTACTTGGGTTTAAAAATTTGAGTCAGCAAGAAAGAATTCTACAACAAAGGGGATTTCTGGAGATGCACTGCCATAGCAAAGGCTGAAACAAGCCGCAGTCCTGTGGGAGAAATGCACATTCAGCATCCTGTCAGTGTGCTTTGCCATTGACTTTCTGGTTGCTAAGGAACAGTCTTGGACAAGCTATTGCCCCTTCTGTCCTAAGGATGGGCTTCCTAGACTCGTTTAGTTGGCCACTGTGAGAAATGGAAGCTTAGACAACATCCATCTTCAAGTAGAGTTTTTGTATACAATTTGTGGATCTATGGATAATGTTCTCAGATTGATCTTGGTTTATAAAGAACTTGGCTTTGTTGTTTCTTTCTCTGACTAAGAGGTATTGCCCTGTCAGGCCACATTTATCCCACTTGCCGCATCTATGTTTCTCCTGGTCATCTAACCCTGGAACAGAAGGAACTTTCATGCAGGTGTGCTCTACCCAGTTAGTGGCATCTAAGTTAGTGGCATGTACCTTTTTAGTCTAGGCTTAGTATGTAAACTCAGTACAAGTAATTCAAAAAATATAGAGTACAAATTAGTATTACATAAATTATTATAATAATCAGCATGATACATTTGCTAATACTATCTTTAGTATAAATCCATAGTGATGAATGACAAATATGTAAAAATGTTTTGTTCAGAAGGTTTATAATTTGGAATATATATTAAAATGATCCCTCACAAACTGATTGAAGAAATGAAAAACATTATATCTATTCTACTCACTGCAATGGATTAAACATATATAACCTTTGGAATAATATAATTCTCTTTTGGGGAGAAGACTGGAGCAAAATAGGCATTGATGATTCCATTTTCTTCTTCTTATTGCACTCCTAGGAAGAGACTTATGATTTCATTTTTTCTCCTTTTACAACTGACATAGTCAGGAAGCCTTTCTTGTTGCTTTTAGCTTCCCTTGAGTCCTCTAAGTCAAGGCTTTTCAATCAGTGGTACAGGTACCACCTGTGGTACATTGGCACCTGGCAGGTGGTACGCGACCATCCGAGAAAAGTGGTGGCGGGGGAATGAGTTGAACCGGTGGCAGCACAGCACAAGCCTGAGCAAGAGATGGCTGGAGCTGCAGGGCTGTCAGGGCTCAGCGGAAGCGCCAGGATCAGCGCCAGGCTCCAGCTGAAGCTCAGCGCTGATCCTGGCGCTTCTGCTGAGCCCAGAAGAAGCGCCAATCAGCTGGAATGTTGCAGCATCTCCAGGGTCTTGTGATTTACATTCAGATGTTTGGCAACTGATTCATATTTATGACGGTCACAATGTCCCAGGGTCATGTGAAGTGACCAAAACCTGCTGCAATCACCCAGCAGATGGGGGGAATAAAAACATCCCCCACCCCACCCCCGTTGCCAATCCTCAACAGAAATGCTCACAACAATGAAAACCTTGGACAGGAAGAAGAGCGCCGCCAGGTGGGCAGGCAGGAGTCTTGCTCAGCTGGGGCTTGGGGGGCACTTTTTTCAGTGCCATTGTAACTTCAAATAGTCATTAAGCAAACTGTTGTAAGTCGACTACCTGAACTTCATTACTTTTTTTCCTTTTTTTAATGGGTCATCAAGTTTTTGACACCTTGCTAGGCGACTGGTGGTACTCGAATATTGCCATATCCTAAAAGTGGTACAAAGGGTGAAAAGGTTGAAAAACCCTGCTCTAAGTGCTTTGGTTGCAGGACTTGGGTTTGGTTAGTCTAAAGAAAAGAATAAATAGGGGAGTCATGATAGCAATATTTGAGGGGCTGCCACAAAGAAGAGGGGGTCATGTTATACACCAAAGCACCAGAGGGCAGGACAAGAAACAATGGTTGGAAACTAATCAAAGAGAGAAGCAACCTGGAATTAAGGAGAAACTTCCTGACAGTGAGGCCAATTAACCAGTGGAGTAGCTTGCCCCCAGAAATCGTAGGCGCTCCATCAATGGAGATTTTTAAAAAGAGGCTAGACAGTCACTTGTCTGAGATAGTACAGGTTCTCCTGCTTGAGCAGGGGGCCTGATTAGAAGACCTCCAAGGTCCCTTCCAGCTCTATTCTATTCTGTTCTATTCTGGAGTGAGAGAGGGGGGGAGAAAGAGAGGGAGGGAGGGAGAGAGGAAGGGAGGGAGAGAGGGATGAAGGAAGGAAGGAAGGAAGGAAGGAAGGAAGGAAGGAAGGAAGGAAGGAAGAAGGAAGGAAAACAATACTCCAATTGTTTCCTAAACTGACTCCCAGCTGCACTTTGCCTTGTTAGAATGATATGCAATTGTACTTTCAGTATCTTATTTTTCAGTAGTTCCCAACCCTCCTGTATTCAGATTTCCTTTGACCTCAGGATTTCTCTCCATGGATCATCTGACCTAATATTTCTCTACGGTTGTTGAACTTGGATGTTCTGAAATGTCATGTGCATAAAATAATTAGATTCCAATTTTAATTTCAGCAGCATTTGATCCAAGATGACAAAGTCACTTCCTCCCAATGGTCATGCTTTCTTTGCCTCTTGAGTAAAATCTCTGTTCATTAGGATCACATGCAAGAAAGCCTATTGGCTTCTGGAAAATGAGACATTGAGCAAGACCACAGAGGAGTTTTTAGGATGTCATAGTCTTGGCTAAATTGATGTGGATATTTTGATATTATCTATCAAATTAAAATGTTAATTTGTAAATCAACTAAGTTTAAAACAATTTCTTCTCAGCAACTGGGAGATACCGGTAGTAGGTTGCTTTATGATCTAAATTTCAAAATAAAATATATGGTTAATATGGACACACACACATACACACACACACACACACATTCTCATCAATTTATCATGTGAGTAAACATTTGTTGGTGCAACAGGAGTCTTTTTTTTTAAATTGAAAAGTTTTATACAAGTTTTAAACAATATCCCCCCCTAAAATAACTCCTCTCCCTCCCCAGAGCTGGTTACAGGGTTACAAATAAATAAACAAATTCTAAATAAACTTATCCAACTATACAAATAATAAAATCGATAATATACTTTAACTCAAATACAAAAAAGGAAAAAAAAATAATATAAGCATTTCCAAATTAAAAACTATAAATAATTCATAATCTGCATAATGCATTTTAAACCCATATCATAACCCATATTTACTCTACATATAATTTATCCATCTTTACCTTGCTGAAGTGTATATTTCTTTTAAACAACCATTTGTCCATAATAAACACAAAATTTTCCCTCCAATATAACCTAACCAACAAACTTACGTTCGATAAAATTGGCTCTTTGCTTTTTACCCCTAAGAAAGTCTATTAATACCCTCCTACTTAAAAAGTTTCAGCAAACCATTCATCTTCTAAAATTCTCACCAACAGAGATCATCAAAATTTTGAATTCTTTTACACATTTACCCATAATGTCTCATAATTATTTTTCACTTTAAATTAAGAATTTATAATATATATACTCCCAAATATTTAAACTTTTCCACTAAATCAACACCTTCTATTATTCTTTTACTTTACATTTGCATACTACACAAATCATTCACTGTTCCTTTAAAACATACTAAATACAAATCATTCACTTTTCCTTTAAAACATCTTCTATCTCAAAAAACTACTACAAAAGTTCATCATTTCCTTTTCTTTATTCCAACATCCATCTTCTGCAGTTCTTTTATTTTATGTCTATAGGCTGCACGAGTCATTCTCAGTTCCTTTAAAAAATCTGCTGTCTCAAGAGACTGCTGCAAAGGTTCAGCCTGTTTATCTCCCACATCCAATAGCATAGCACTTTCAACCGACTGCTCTTCCAACTTTTCTTCTATTATCTCAGGTCGTAAAGATAATGGGAGAACCCACCTTCAAAACCGAAATGTAAAAATCTTTCGCCTTTGACATTGTATTAAGTCTGTAATATATCCCCGCATAATTCAGGACTATCCCAACAGGTATATCCCATCT